GTAAGGACAGCTGGGCAAGTAGGGAACAAAACTGTCCTGTTGGCCACTTAGGCCTGAGTCATTGCTCAGGGTGAACATGTTGGCATCCTGTGCAGAACCACGATTCACCGGTCAGGGAGAAGGGAGGATGGTTTCTGCCTTACTAACTAGTGGTGTCTACGCAGGTCCTTACTAACCCACAATACTTTTCTGATTACAGAGTGAGAATTTAAGTTTTCTCAGTGTCACCCTCACAATAAACTTGTCACTGAAAAGTGCAGATTTTTTTCCCCTGGAGGTTCTCTGAGGCTTTCTAGGGAGACCTCAGAGAGCCTAGTAAGCCTATCAAGCCCATCACCCTCTCTCTGAACTCTAAGAGGGGAACAATTGGAGCCTCCAGCTAAAGTCTTGTTCTGCAATTGCTCTTCTTTTTTAATCTGTTTTCCATTTTGCAACTGGGAGCATGAATGAGAGGATGGAAAAGCCCATGGCATTGACAACAGCACCATCTTCTGTTCAAAGAAATGACACTGTCACATTCGGTCCTGTTGCCGCCTGGGCTCTGGAATACAAATGCACACCACGTGAAGGCATCTAAGGAGAATCTTTCCCTGGGCTTTGAGCCCTGCTGCCTTTCGTAGTTCGATATTTCACCCTTGATAATTTAGTCCTGTAGCACTCATAGTGTCTCGGTGATCTTGGCTCCTTCCTCCTCTGACATTATGAAAATCCAAGCTCACTACCTGCAGTGAGCCTTGACGTGTGTGAACATCCAGTTCATGAAGTCACTGTGAAGGAAGGATCCCTTTAGCTGGCCACTATCCTTAATGTACACTTCCTCCTCCCACTCACTCTCCATCCTCTCAGCATTACCCTGCTTAAGCAGGAAGTGGTGCCGGTTCCAAGCTGGAGGTTAAGAAGAGTCTGGACAAAATGTGGAGGTACCACCAAACAAGCTCAGTTACATGTGCACCATTTCAGACTAGAAGGGAGTCAGCAGTGTTCATCCCCAGAAAGCTTATGGAGAGATCTAAAAATATATGGTGTTGACAACAGAACCCCCATACCTTCATCGTGTTGTGGGCCCAAGCATGATGGTATTAGTCAGAAGTGGAAGAAGGAGCTTATGCCAGAGAAGGACTCCCCAGAGGCCACTGCTGGACACACCTTCAAAGATGGGGAAAGCATGGCAGCATTTCTTCAAACTGCACATACTTAGGCCTGGGCTGTAGCTCAGTGGTACAGCACTTGCCTAGCATTTGTGAGGTTCTAGGTTCTATCCTTAGTGCTGCAAAAGCAATAAATTGTACCTATTTATTGCTGGAGAAAACAACTAGAGGCTAACTTTAGGTATAAGGGATGCCTGGGCTATAGCAAGATAGCTACAGTACAGAAGGGAGGTGAAACTCTGACTCTTATCCTAGCATCTGCTTTTTGATGTCAAAAATAACAGCCATTCACAGCTACCATTGTTTCACAGATGAAGCAGGAAAATGGCAGGGAATAGGAAAAGCAAACTATTGCAAATGCCTTTTCCATGTCACTTCCTGTGCAAACCTTCCTCTCCAAGAGGGTGAGGAGGAGGTCTAGCTGTTCTCACACTGGGTCCTCTCCATTTATCAAAGTGGTGGATTGTTTTCTGTGGAACTGGGCACTGAGAATTTCGGCTCACAAATGCTCATGTTTCATGGGTAATTATGTCTCTGGAAATTCTCCAGCTGACCAACATAGGACACTATCACCATAAATTTTTATCCATCCAGTTTCAAGTACTTATTAAGTACTATTATACTTCTGGTTCTATATTTGGTGTTTAGGACACAAAATCAGTCAAAGCATAATCCCAACTCTTAACAAGCTCATAAACTGTCAAAAAACCATACATATTCATTCATTCCTAGAAAAATGATTCGCTGAGTGCCTACTATGTGCCAGACACTGGGGGAACAGAGAGCCCACCTGTAGCCAACTGTATATAGTGATCTTCCTAAAGCTAAGCATTGACTTTTATGCTGTTTGAGGCCATGTGGGAGACCCTGCCTACTCCTTCAGGTTTACCCTCCTGATAAAACTCTTACGCTTATTTCTAAAGTGCTCAAAACATGTCATATGCTCTCAATTTTCTTTGTCTTTCCAAAAGTCCTTCCATTTTCTGGTTTAATTTTAGAAAGATCATCCTGGCAGCAATATAGAGTATATATCAGAGTGGAGTGTAAGTCAGGTGGAGGGCTATTACTGTTAGTAAGAAATGGTGAAGGGTTAAAACTAACATACTAACGGAGGACAGAAAAGAGAAGCCACTAACAGACTTGGAAAGTTGCACAGATAAATGAGAAGAGCAACTGAGAAGAGCGAGGAAGCGGGTAGGAAGTCTATTGTCCCAGGTATTTGACTTGGGCAACTTGGATGACAGCCCTTCTCCAAACATGGAATTCCTGTGGAGAATGAGTAGTGAGCAAGGATGATGGCACAAAGGATGGAGGGAGTGAGGGTGACTAGTTTAGATTTGTGAAGGTGGAGATGTCCAACAGGTAGTTGTATAGGTGGATTTGAAGCTACCCCCTGCGGGTGGGTCTCTGCAGACAAACATGGGCTGGGGATAGAGATATAGACTGTTTTCATTGTTTGCATGTTGATGCTACTAAGTCAAAACTATAGTTTTAATGAAGTTATCTAGAGGAAATTTACAGTAAGAAGAACAGAGATTTGAAGATGTAACTTTGGAAACATGAACATGAACAGATCAAGAAGAAAAGGAGTTCTGCCACAGGTGGAGACGGAACAGCTAGGGAGGCCAGAGGAAGAAAAAGGCTCCAGACAAAGGAAGTACCCAACAGAGTCAAATTAGATAAGGACCACTGCCCATATGGGTGAGGCAGAAGGGTGGAGGATGTGGGAATTGTTCCCGAAGGGGAGAAGGTACAAACATGGTGTGGAGGCTGGGGATTTAGCTCAGCGGCAAAGCACCTGCCTGGCAAGCGCAAGGTTGTGAGTTCGGTTCCTGGTACCGGAGGAAAAAAAAAAAAAAACACGGTGTGGAAGAAGGAGAGTCATGAACCGGGAATCAGGTTGTGAGGCTCCCGTGTCATGCTCTGCGTGGGGCTTTATTCTATACACAACAGGGAACAAATACATAGGATGATGTATTGCTTTTCTTTTTATGTCCTTTTCTAAATCTTGGGTAAAATTTAAACAGAATGAAATGCACAAATCTTAAGGGTTCAATTCAAGGAGTTTTGATACATATGAAACTGTAATCAATGCCCTGCTCAAGATAAAATATTCTCATGGCCCCAAAAGTTTCCCCCCAGCCTGGGTCTAGTCCATCTCCACTCTCTGTAGCAAATACTGTTCATTCTACCTCATGGACTGTGTTTGTCTATTCTCAAGTTTCACATAAATGGAATCAAGAGGATGTAAAGTTTGCCTGGCTTCTTTTGTTCAACAGAATATTTCTGAGACATAGCCATGCTGTTGCACGGATTAGCAATTCAGGGTTTTATTTTTTTATTTTTTATATTTTTTGGTTTTTCTCCGGTACCAGGAACCGAACTCACTACCTTGCGCTTGCCAGGCAGGCGCTTTTGCCGCTGAGCTAAATCCCCAGCCCAATTCAGGGTTTTATTGATGACAGTACTGTTATATAAATCATTATTTATCCTCTTATTCACCCATGGACATGAAGTTAGTTACAAGCTTTTGGCTGTAGTGGCTAATGTTGCCAACAACTATCACCTACAAGACTTGCTAGCATATGTTTTCATTTGTGTCAAGCAAATACCTAGCGGCACACTTTTCTAAATCCTTAGGTCGATTTTAACTTGGTAAGAAACAATTGTACAGGTAATGTATAAGAATTCCAGTTTTCACATCTTTGACCCTTGCCATTCGGTATTCTCGGTTTTTTGAAAAGTTTTAGCCATTCTCAGGAGTTTAAAGTGGTACCACATTGGGGGTTTAATTTGCATTTCTCTGGTGATTAATCGTGAACATCTTTGGAAATGTTTACATTTGTGTATCTGTGTTAAATGTCTGCTCAAAGCTTCGCCCATTTGCGTTTAATATATGTATATGTTGAGGGTAATGATATTTATTGGCATATTATATGTTGAAGGCAATTGAGATTTGCTAACATTCTTAGTGGATTTAAAACATAATCATTTATGAGCTCTTGTCAGTAGAAAAGAGAATGACTGAAATATGGAAAATGTCTCGCATAAGTACTGTTAGATAACTTTAAATTTAAATAACTTTCTTTTCACTTTACCCATTATGTTTATTAGATGTCAAGCTCTCCGAAGGTGGAATTGTGTCTCCTCAATTGACTGAAGGACAGATCTTTACAGTTAGAAGGCAAAGAAAACCCACATAACATTCAATTAATGCAGGACTGAGCGAGGAACCAAAGCAGCAACGGGCAGCTCAGGCGAGGTTTCTATTTCTGTATTTAGCTTTAAATGCTCTCAGAAATACATATACCAACACGTGAACTAGTTTTGAGTTTGCACGTGGAAGCGAGCACATGCCTTGTAGAAGCACTTGGGAGCACGGGCACTGGCCTGTGAGGGGTGCCGTGGGTATTTTGCTTTGGGCTGTATCCCACAGAAGCATTGTACTCCTCACCCTGGCCTAAATCATCCTGTGTCTTCGTTATTTTTAAGGCAGATGCCCAGGATCCAGCGCGGATCCAGCTGTGTCAGGGGCTCTGTGTGCGACAGCCAGTATGCCGCCTTTTGAAAAACAGTCCTGGGTGCTGTGATATACGCCTAACCTGCAAGGGTCCAATTTGCACTCACAGATACACCTGGCCTCTTTAGGGCATGCGCAGGCCAATCTTCAATCAGGAATCGACAGAGTCGTTGAAAACACTACATTCACTTTCAACAACGGCCTCCTACCTCCTAAGATACACTATTGGCCAAGTAGTCTAAGCCTCGCTGGCGGAAGGAGGCCAGCCGGAGGCCCCTCCCTGCGCACGCGCAGGACTCCGCGAGTGCATGCACGCGCACGCCCGCCGCGATTCGGCCGGTGCACGCGCACGCCCGCGCCTTTCTCAGTACTCTTCGATCGGATGGAGTGGGTGCTCGCAGAGGCGCTGCTTGCGCAAAGCCAGGACCCCCGGGTCCTGCTTGGGAGTCTGTGCCGAGGGGAGGCATCGGCGGAGCGCGTGGAGACGCTGCGCTTCCTCCTGCAGCGGCTCGAGGACGCGG